GCTCGACAGGCCCCCACCACACTTTACAGCACTTTCAGTGCCTGTATACAGGTTTGCTATTAATCCAACAATCCTTGCTGGAATTCCTCTTATCCTCAGGATCTCCCAGAGTGATTCGTGATGCACCATATCAAACGCCTACATAAGGTCGATGTAAGCTGCGAGCAGCCCACGTCCGAACTCATGACGCCGCTCTACAATGACTCGAAGCGCCAGGATGCGGTCAATTGTGGACTTACCAGGAATGAATCCAGATTGCTCCGGGCTTTGGTGTCTCAGCAGGTAGCCTCTGATACGTCTCAGTAGAATGTGTGCGAGAACCTTGCCTAGTATACTGAGTAGTGTAATGCCTTGGTGATTGCTGCAGTCCCACCGATCCCCTTTCCCCTTCCAGAGAGGGATGACCACACCCCCCTGCAGGTCAGGGGGAATGATACCAGTCTGCCAGATGGCAGATAAGACTGCATACAGACCCCTTGACATAGGTTCTCGACAAGCCTTCAACAATTCAGCTGGGATGCCACAAACACTGCTGCTTTACCACTCTTCAGCTTGGAGATCGCCCCCCTGACTTCAGTCAGAGAGGGTGGATCCTCGCTGATGGGTGGGTCTGGCAGAGGAATCTCAACATTACCTATAACTATACCTCAACATATAACTGTTGGTGGATCAACCTGATACAAGTGCTCAAAATACTCAGCCCGAAGCACACACACCCCATCAGGATCTGAGATTATCTGGCCCCTTGCTGAGCGGACTGGTCATCTGTGAGGAGGGCTTTCTCAGAGCTTGGTAGGCAGGACGAAGGTCATTTACTAGGAAATGGCTTTCGACCTCTGCAAGATTAATGATAAACTATTCCTTACCCCTTCTCAACAGTGACCTAGTCCTGCTTACCAGAGAACAGTGCAAGTTGCGATCCCCTGACAATCAAGCTGCATGAAAAGCATCTGTGGCTTCCAGTGTCTTCTGCGAGATGGAATTCTGTCTGCTCTTAGGCGTTCACCAATCAATTCTTGGGCTGCATCAAGCATTTCACGTTTGAAGGTATCCCACAGAAGAACAGAGTCTGTCAGGCCCTCAAGTGCTGTGAGGCGACCAGAGATAGCCTCGGCAAACTCCCGGGCACTCTCGTCCTCCCTCAATCTGTCCAAATGAAACACCCTAGGGTGTTCGACCGGAGAGTAGCTACCACTAATCTATGATCAGTTCCATAGAACTCGGCGCTTCGATACACCCTGCACTTCTGGAGTATCCTCCATTACGTGCTAATAAGGATGTGGTCGATCTCCTTAGCGACACTACCCATATCACTGTACCAAGTCCAACGATGCGGGTCAGAATACTGATATCAGGAGCCAGAAATCCTCAATTTCTGGGACATAGCAGAGTCACAGAAAAAGAGGCTTTTCTCGCTGCCAACATCAGCCCCTGAGCCATGAGGACCAACAGACATCTCGTAGCCAGCTCGATCGCAGCCAGATACCACACTGAAGTCACCCAGAACAATACGAATATCTCGCTAAGGACAGCTGTCTGACACAGATGCAAGTTTGGCGTAAAACATCTATTTCACCTCAAGTTTATATACATCCGTAGGAGCAAATTTATCGATCGTGAAATTGACGTCATATTTGAAACATTTTCGAAATTAGGATATCCGCGCTTTTTCTTAAATCAGGCCCATTCATCCGCGAGATGGAAGTTTTATACTCATTCCCGTAATACTCAACAGGACAGTGACAACAATCTATTTATTCCGTATAACCCGTCTCTCGATGAGAAACGTCACATGTTTAAAGCCGTTGGAATTGACATTGTGTTTACGTATCCAAACACGTTGCGCAATACTTTGGTTAAACACAATGCGACTAGCGGTGCTCTTGGGACTTCTCCCGGTATTTATACTATACCCTGTAAGGATTGCCCCAAGTTTTACATTGGCGAGACCGGTAGAGCTTTTGAAAAAAGAATCAATGAACATAAACGTGAGGTTAGATATGCCAGAAAGCGGGGGTTACCTGTCATCCCATCTGGGTTCCGGCGGCCGCCAACCTGGCGTGATGCTTGTGGGGGAAAGCCCTAGGGAGCCCTGCAGTCGGATTATGGGACCTTCAGCCAGCTAACCTTCTCTATATGGGGCGGCGTCGGTAGTGGTGGCAGAGGTGGCACCCACCCGGAGTGACTGTCTGAGGTTAGACCTCAGGCGGGCTGTCAGGGTGGGGGCCTGGAATGTCCGTTCCTTGCGACAGGACGATCAGTTACTACCACTGTCGAGGGAATTGAAGCAGCTGAGAGTTGAGGTGGATGCTCTCCCAGAGGTGAGAAGACCTGGCAGCGGCACGATTAGTGTGGGTGGCTACACATATTACTGGTCGGGCCGCAGCGATGGCCACCATCTCCAGGGAGTAGCCATAGCCACCTCCAACAGACTTCAACCCTCGGTAGTAGAGGTCACTCCAGTCGATGAGCGTATTATGGTATTGAAACTGAAGCTTTTATTTGGCTTCATGTCTCTTATTCCTGTGTACGCTCCTACGGATGTATATGAACTTGAGGTGAAAGAGATGTTTTACGCCAAACTTGCATCTGTGACAGACAGCTGTCCTTAGCGAGATATTCGTATTGTTCTGGGTGACTTCAGTGTGGTATATGCAAGAAATGGCAGGAGATACCATCCTCGGGCAGTGTAGGGTTTGAATGCAGGTCTGTAACTTGTTAGACAAAATCTCTACCACTGCACAACACAGCATGTGCATGCATGCATGTGTATGTTTTTGCAAACAATTAAACAATGGGGGCTTAAGAGACGGAGACTGAGGCCTAGTGTTGAGGATCACCTCTACTTTGGGCTTCAGGCCTTGACTCCACTAATTTTGCAGTCATCTTTCTTTTTCCTTCTCTTTTCCAACCCTTTCTATTATCCAGGTGTGAGAACCATGTTGAAAGGATGAAAATCTGACTCATCTGACTCATGATCGGCCTAGGGGAGCCATGGGCACGGTATTCCTGTTTAGCTGTCAATCCTATACCCTGAGGGGTGGACCATTTCCCTTCCCAACATACTATTGGCTTACCATGGCCAGTAATGAAGATCTTATACCTTCATTAGGGGCAATGAAACTTGCCCCTTTATCAGCTAGCCCCAATGATTTTAATTCATCCAGTTCCCTGACCCCAGGTTCTCCTTTGACCACAACTCTGAACACTATTACTACCTCTCCTCAGTGCCTACAGTCTACAGTACTACTTACCATTACCTCTTCCACAAGGCCCCATCCTTCTACTACCCCCACCTCTACAAATCTTTTGACTACTCTGTTTAGCCCAGTCAGATGGAATCAATTTTCGTTGACTTCCTCTACAGCACTTTCCTCTCAAAAATGCCTCCCGAAATGAGTTGGCAAATTTCCTTCCACAGCTGTCCCTTGCCACAGTTACATCTAAACCCCAGATTAAAGCATTATCTACTCTGACTTCAATGGCATGCCCACTCTCATCCCTCAGACTGTCAGCAGACTGTCCTATCGACTTATTCACCTGCCAGTTGACTATGATAACATATCAGTACAATGCTACACAATTACAGGGGAGCCATGGGAAAGATTACTTTCCATAGTCATAACCTCCCAAGATGTTTCTATTGGCAGAGAGTTCCTCCTTGTCAGACCACATCAACCCCCAGTCCCCATCAGATGTCAGAATTGTTGGCATCTAGGCCACCCCACCAAATACTACTGCTCCCCAGCTTGATGCCCCCTATATGCCCAACCCAGTTACGCTTGATCAAATTCCTCTGCATAATCACGCATATCTGCCAGTTGTGGTTGCTCCCATAATATATTTTATAAGGGTTGCCCTACTTATAAGTTTGAGTCTAAGGTGGTAATTCTCAGTATCAAACTTGGCCTAATTTTATGTGAGGCCAGAAACTCTTGAAGACATTCAAAACTATCTGATCATGACCTAAGATAACAGACCTACACCTCATCCATCCCCCAATCTCTCAGAATGCTGATAGGGGTGTAGGAGGAACTCATGTTCCTCCTACACCCCTTCTTCCCACCCCCTTCCAACACATCCTATTCCCTCCCCCTGCCCCTGCTTGTTATCATACCCCCTTCCTTCCTTGTTATCCCTTCCTCCCTTATGTTACAACCCCCCCCTTTCCTATATTATCTCTTTCCTGACATTTCCCCTAAAACTGTGATCTAATTCCTTTAAACACTTTTTTCTCCTTTTGCTAATCTCTGCCTCACCCTGTGGACATCCTTGCAGAATCCCACATTTTTTCCTTTGACAACTTTGATCGAATGACCATCTTCCTCCCTTAGCCCCCTTGCTCACCCTCTCTACCCTCACACCTATTTGCCCCTTTATATGCCATACTATCCTGAACTGCAATAAGACTTTTGATGTGTAGCTCATTTAATCTTCACTTAAACCCCCTTCTTTACCCTTTCTACTACTACACATTTTTACAGGTGTGTATATATACACCTTTGATGTCCAACACTTTATTTTGCTTTATACCCATTAACCATTAACCAATGGGCATACACATATGGAACATAAATCTCATCTGAAGGGTTACAGTTGAAAGTTAAATATACACAGGAAAAGTAAACACACATCATTTTTTTTTTCTTCAGAATCTTTGAGTAAGCTATATAGAAAACTTGAGTAACACATTTACCTATATATGCTGCATCTTTTTTTTCTATCAAATTTACTTCTCACTCAATCTTACCTTGTACTTAATTAACCCAGTGTGCATCAAGGCAAGGCAGCTTATTCAAGTAGCATCCACATCGAATTTGGTATTTCTGTTTGTCAAGGTTAGATTTAAAAAGCTGGACCTACTTTTTTAAATGTATAAAAAATAAATAAATAAATAAATAAATAATGGGGGGAGTGACTTCATGTGTGTGAGATGAAAAAGAAAAAAACATTACTTGCTACTCAACTTCCTTTAAAATATTTTTATTTAAAAATTGCCTCATTCATAAAGTGGTCTCTTCCCTAAATAAAATACAAAGATGATGCCCCAAGGAAAAGAAATTTGTAATTTGCGATCTACTTACACCCAACATATCATCAGTACAGTACATGTACATCTCTTCCCTTGATGATTCAAGAAGAGTACAGATCAAGGCTCAACCTCTATATGTTATATTCATTAACCCTTAACCAATAAAAGAAAAGAAAAGAA